TATGTTACAAGGGACGTGAACGGATGAACGTGCCATTCATTCATTTATTCTAACATAAAAATTTATTTAATTATTATTATATACAATATAGACAATAACTACTTTATATATTAATAATTAATCGATTAAATTCCTGTCAATGATCGAGCATGCTACAAATCCCATAAGGTAAAAAATTTATTATTCAGGAAAATTAATATGTTCATTAATCTTATTGAGATAATTTTCAGCTTATCTTAGAAAAGATACTCACCAAAAAATAATCATACTTTTCTTTCATTCTTTTTTCCTTTATCTCATTGTTAGCTATTAAATTAAACAATTTTGGTTTAAGTTTGCTTTCGCCACACTTTCTTTAAATTTCCATTCGGAGCTATAGTTTACAAAATGCGGCGGCTATTGTTTAATGGTTTTACATTCTTAAAGCAGAACTTATCTAAAAAAGGAATAGCAAGATGATTACCATATTTCGGAAGTAGCTGTGTAAGGTTGAAAAATGAAAGTGCTGTACATCTCCCCTATTTATAGAAATGAAAAAAAAAATGTAATTGATGTAAGTGTATCTTATTAATAATAGCAAAGTACGGTAAGATATTGTGAAATGGTTATTAAACTTGTTTTAATTTCTTTTTTCTGCGCCTAATATCGGAATTCCTTAATTTAGAATTAAGACAATGATTAATAATTATAAATATATATCCTTTTTTTCCAAGTAAAAAAAAAATCATTCTCTTCGAGTAAAAAAAAAGTATCCTTCTCTCTGACGGAACTTAGAAAATCACAGATTAAAATAACAAAAATGGAGGTTGCTACTATTGCACATGCTAAAATATTGTTGCTCTATATGCAGCATTTTGTAAGAAGATTCGTAGGTTTTAAAACAATGTCAACAGTTACCATTAGTAACAATCATCAAGAGATGAAACTTACTGATCCTGATGTCTTCGCACCTGGAGAAATGAATAATCCACTGAATCCAACCATTACCCCAGGACAAACACCGAATTCATCGTAAGTATAACTGTAGGTTTTTGTAGTAAAAAATAAGTATGCATATGGTAATAAACTTTTTATTAATATAGAAAATTCGTCTCTAAACTTGGAAGGTTCACTTCGCAAGGAATGATATCATATAAGATAATTGGCCAAACCGGACCAAATTGGGACCCTCTATACCTTATAGTTACATGGAAAGTAAGTAATTTTTTATTGCTTTTAGTTATTATATTGAATATGTACTGTACGTTTAAGCCGTTTAAGCAATATTTGATTATTATTCGCACTTATAGGTAAAATTAATAGCTGGGGAAAATTCAATATGTATTAATGTACGTGA